TATCGAATAGACCGAACAGCGACAAAGAAAAAAATAATATAATAAAATAAAATTTAAAAAATATAAATAAAAAAAAATTAAAAAGAAAATAAACTAAAAAAAATTATGAATATCAACTGATTGTATATTATAAGTTAATTAGTTAAGCTCGACTACAAAGAAGCAACAGCAATGCCACAACGTCAAAGCAGACTTAAGAAAACGCAAAATAAATTATGACAAAAACACAAAATTTATTCCAAAATTATATTGAATATTCGATTAGAGACAACAAATACACCCATATGAAAATATAAACGAAAAGGCAAGAAGATAACACGCCTGCATATATAATTAATATATATTTCGTTATTTTATATATATACTTACACATAAATAATGTTGCTTGCACACACTTACAGGCATGAACACACACATACGCGTATGAACAAGTGTATGCTGATTTTATATATACGATTTGCAACATATTAAGGAAATTATCGAGGCACATTTTCCCTTTTTTAGTTTGTTGATCAATAGATTTTGAAAGATATTTTTTTATTCGCTTCAAATATTGTCATCCATAACGTGAACTAATTATTAATGATTGATTCCTTATAAACGTACATACATATACATGCACATAGGCACTACATTGGGTGCACCCTTCGTATATATAATATTAAAAATATTTTCCGATCTCAATTTTTTTTTTCCTTTGCTTAAGCTTTACAACAGCGAAAATCATGTAATAATAGATATATTAGACATTTGCTCATTAAAATTTTTACAAACAACTATAAAAGTCTTGCTAATATATGATTTATGCATTGTGCATAGTTAACGGTATAAACCTTTCAAATTTTGTTTTACTTTTTATTCGAGTATGAACTTTTGTGGTTGATTTCTGATTCAGACCGGTTATAATCGTTTTATTCATTTCAAATTAAAATCTTAGGGGATATGCTGACATACATATGCATGTCAACATTTTTAGCGTCTTTTAGTGGTGTTTATATTTATTATTTAAAAAAATCTTTTTTTTAAATTATAATTTATTTAAATTTTGTTTTATTTTATTTAATTTTAATATTTTTTTTTTTTTTATTATATTATATGTTTTTTTTTCATTTGTAACACCCTATAAAATATATACATAAATGATCAGCATGCTGAGCTCAGTTGATTTAGCCATGTCCGTCTTTGCACCTGTCTTTTCATCACTAAGAAGCTGCTCATTTGGAACGACCGATATCGGATCACTATAGCATATAGCTGCCATACAAACTGAACAATTGGAATCAAAATACAAATTGAACGATCGAAATCAAGTTCCTGTAAGGAACCTTTGTATTTGTGATGGGAAGCTTCGGTGTAACGAAATTTAACGTTTTTTCTTGTTTTATTATTATTTTTTTTTTATTGTTTTTTATATTTTTTTATATTATTTTTTTTTATATTGTTTTTGTTTTATATTTTTTTTATTATATATTGTTTTTTTTTATATTTTGTTTTTATATAGTGTTTCTACATTTTTTTGTTCATGTTTTTCTTTTATTTGTTGTTATATAGTTTTTTTTATTTTTTTTTTATATATTTCTTTTTCTATATAATTAAAAAAAATTTTTTTTTTTTGACTTTTTTTTTATTTATTTTTTTAAATATTTTTTTTTATCCATTTTTTTTATATATTATTTTATTTTATATAATTTTTTTATACATTATTTTATTTTATATAATTTTTTTTATATTTTTTTTTATATTATTTTTTATATTATATTTTTTTTATATTATTTTTTATATTATATATTTTTTATATTATTTTTTATATTATATTTTTTATTATATTTTTTATATATTTTTTATATTATTTTTTATATTATATTTTATATTATATTTTTTATATTTATTTTTATCCATTTTTGTTTATATATTTTTGTTTGTTTTTTATATATTGTTTCTTATAAATTTTTTAAGTTTTTTTCTTTTTCTATCGTCGATTTTTAAATCAGAGTAGAGCTATATCTGTATGTTATACCGGGTATCATAAAAGCTCTGCATAGAGCATCCTGTTTCTAAAAATCTGGAATGCTCTCCTTTCTATTTAAAAAATATTCACAAGCTAAAGCAACAAGAAAGTGTCAACAGACGAAATAGTCTTGATGTGATGAGTTGGAATTTTATTCAGGCCCAATAAATCTATACATAAATATGTATGTACATATGTAATACAAGCAAAGCTTCTAAAGTCAACTTTTTTTGTTTAACTTCTGTAATTTCATTTCTAATCTGTCATTAGTGTAGAACACATTTCTCACCTTTAAAGAAATCATTATTATAGAGTTAAAATTACATCGATTTTGATTATTATTTCAAAGTTGAATTTCCATAGATAAAAACGTAACGGACAAAAAGATGTTAGCTTAAATAATATACACTTGACGATTATATATGCGTACATACAAACACATAATCATATGTATGTACATAAGTACTATATATGACATGCAATGCGTTCGAGTTGGAAGTGTAGACAAAGTGAAGTAGCAAAACAGAATTATTAGTTGTGTGAAATTTTCATAGTTGCGTCGAGTAGCGCCGCTGCGTATGAACGAATCGAGTGTGCCCCCGCTGTTGTCGTACTAGTATAGGCTATCTTAATTAATTGTAATAACGAATTATATAACAAAAAAAAAAAATAACTACACAAAAGAGAACCGTTTCATATTTGATATAATTACACGAAGATTTGTAAAATTTAGAAGCAAATTCGTCAACTCAAATAAACACAATTATTTATGAAACGAACGAGTATCAATCAAATTGTATGAATTCAATGGCACAGTAAAAATTGAACTAAAATCACACACTTAAACATAATTACATAATATTGTATACAATACATAAATACATACATACATGCATCATACAATACATGTAAGTTTATTCAGATAAACTTATAATTATAAATGATTATTAAAGTAATATAAAAAGTTAATGAATCGCATTTTTAATTAATACACAAACTAACGGATAATTTACGATAGCAACCATGTCGAATGACAAAAAAAAACGACATTCAAAAACCTAACGATGAGTGCATAATTTTTCTAATGAACTTCGAAGATATTACAGCGATGGGACGTATGTGTTACTTACCAAATTCTGCTCAGTAAAAGTCTGACTTTCAAAGTATATATGTATTTTATACCGTTTATATTGTTTAAAAATTCGCTAAGTCATATGAAATTAACTAAAGTTTAGGATAGCGAGATTTATTGCAGATTTTATAATTGAATCCAATGGTGAAGTGGTGTGTTGAGGTCATTGACCTAAATAACGTTAGTTTCCTGTTCCTAAAATTGAATAGAGAGCAGAGCAGAGCGGACGGGTCTGCTGAAAAGTCAGGCAAAACGAAATACTATCTCCAGTCATCATATAAGTAGTCAGTGTATTATTCTATTTACCATGCATTCGGGTTCAGTAAAAAATTAGTTTTAGTAAATTGTAGAAAATCGTTACGTATTTTGAAATCAGAAAATACTTATAATGATGTGCTCATAGAACAATCGATTACCTTCAATAATAACTAAAATTAGTTGTACAAAACTAAAATATCGACATGCGCAGAAGATAACAGTAAAAGGCAAACAAGTCGGTTAAGAGCAGAACCAGTCATTGTCAGATTCAAGATGCCGTGCAAAGGATGTGAAAAAGGTAATGGAGATTCTTTTAACTACAATTATAACCTGCCAACTTTTCATGATTTTCAGAATGTAAATGCACACCAGAAAAATGTGATGAACAATGCAAGTGCGCCAAGGACAATAAGTGTAATTGTCACGCTGGCAAAGATGGAAAGACTGACGGAGTACCACCAAAGTCCTGCTGCAGCGGAGGCAGCGAAGAAAAGAAATGTGGAAAATAGACTGAGCTAATATTTAGAAACTGTATTTGAATATGCCAATAAATATTTAACATTGCGTTTTTGAAAAATTCTTTTTTCATATACTTATGTATATAGTATGTCGTATGCTCGTTGGCTTTCGAGTGAGGGCAGAGGCTCCTATCTGAAAAGCATATGAAATTCGCAACTAAAGTTTGGTGGATATGCACGAATAAGCTTTACATAATTAAAGTTTCATGGTTCTAAATTTAAACTCGTGGATCATTGGACCAAGATGTACTACATCGCACAAATACATAATTTCTAAGAACAAATTTTTGGTGACAATAAGAAAGCAAATTACTTGCTTTCCACAATATTTTTGCTGGTAATAACGACCTTTGTATCTATTTACATATTTTTCTTACCAACCGCAATCGGCCGAAGGCAATTTACTTGTTCGAGTAGTTTTTTATTACTTAAATGAGCTGTTTTGTTATCGTTTTATTAATGCTGCATGGAAACAAATGTTGCCGAGAACTGTAACGAAATTGTGGGAATTTGTGTACACTACCATAGATCAGTTTGACAACATTGTTGCAATTGTCGATTGAAAGCTATCTTAGAGTATGATATGTTTGAATTTTTTACAAATGCCATCTACGTCATAGAAAACACAGATTTTTGTAAATAGCTGACGACAAACTCTTCAGAGAATCTCTCTCATGCACGTATATTGCTTTATTCATGTAGATAAGTCGTAATGCGCGCATTCACCAACGAAATCGGTTGTCTCAGTGTGTTTCAGGTATGAAAAGGCAAAGTATTCTTTAAAGTTTTATTCACTTTATTTTCCTTTTTCAATAGATTTAAAAAAAATTAAAATTTCCAATTGTTGTATTTCTTTTTATAGTATATTCATTGCATTCAATACCTTAACCAAATAATTCTTAGAGAGTTATAGAAGACAAAAATCGTATAAAAGAAACGGTGCGTATACGTAAAATTAATAGTATTTTAGTTATTAACAAATTAATTAGAATTAATATTATTAATTTGGTGGATAAACAAAAATTACAATAAAAATCGTTACGAAAATGCTATAAATTCTTTCCATGCACAAATGACACATCACTTTTTATTATTTCTACTAAGATAATTATATTTTATTTACGACTTTTTTTTTTGTAACGGGCATAAAGGTAAGGCTGATTTTCATCAACAGCCGCAACATTGCTTCTATTACATGCATACAACACCGCAGTTTTCGACAGTTGGACAATGTACCGTTAAGTGTATTGCTCAAAATTGAGTAGAAACGTTATTCGAAATTTAATTGTATCTACATGTAGGGTTTTATTTGTAACCGAATTCATGCAAAGCTTACAATTTACAATGGTATAGACGTTCGTCGACACGGTTTCTTAAAGTTTGTAAGTTTTATTCAATTGGCGCTGCAAGGCAGCATTGAAAACAGTACAGTTATAGAAGTAGTTATAACAAAAAAAAAAAAAAAAATAACAAAATCTTTCATATTGCATACAATAACAACAGTAACCGAGGCCCGTATTTTCCTTAACAGTGTTGCTAGTGTGGACAATATCAGTTATATTAGTATTTAGCGAGTATGGGTAAATGCTGGACAAGTAAGTGGTCTAATCGTGAAACTCCGTAATGACATCAAAATACTACGCGCCCGAGTGTAGACTATGCGATAAGTATTGAAGTATTTTATAATGTTTTCCATGCGTGGAGTTGCACAACAGAACTATACGTAAGTATATTTATCAACGAATGCGCGAAAAAACGCATTTTAGCTAACCAATAGGTTTGATGGGTGTTGGGCGAGTTTTTTTCTTTTGTTTTTCAATTTTTTTTTTTTTTTATATACAATACGTTCACTTTTTGGCTCTTCGCTTTTTGCGATTGCTAGCCGCATTATTTATGTTTGTTGTATTACTACCGCTGCTGCTGTTGGCCTCACTATTCGGGGTTGTGACGGTGGCGTATTGGTGTGCTGCTGCATTGGCCGTTTGAGCAAAATTCATTTGCGCATTCGAGGACGCACCTATTATACGGGACCATATTTGCGTGATCATCGTTTTGCCGGCGGTGTCGCCAATATCGCCACCACTGTATGACGCTGTTGCTGCCGCTCTTGTAATTTTCTGTTGAGTCACATTGTTATTGTTGTTGGTTTTCGTTGCTGCTGTTTTCCCTTTAGAATTTGTTTGATTTTTTTGTTGTAGCTGTTGCTGTTGTTGCTGTTGCTGAAGAGATCGTTGGGCGTATTCTCATGACTTCTTCACTTTGCCATTCATTGCCGACGATGATGTGCGTCCACCGATCGCCGCTTCGGCAGCATGCGTTGCCACATGTTGTATGCCCTTCTCCATGCAACCCTGATATATGGGCTTCATAAACTAAAATTGAAAATTGTGAAATAAGCATTATTGAAAATAGTTTACAAAAGTAATAGGAATGTGCACTCACGTTTTCCCACATAAACGTCGCAAACTCATCCAATTTAACACCGAAATCACCCATTTCACCGCTGTACCTGTGAGTAAATAGTGGAATATTTCGAATTCTGTAAGATTCTGCGTTTCAGACAAGTTATGGCGTTCATTTACCTAATATACGCCCACAACGCCAATGTTAATAGGGCAACACCCATTACTAGATTACAGAAGTTGGCAAATGTGTAGAGGCCGACGAGGCCAAATATTCCGCTTAGTACGTAACAAATAACTGCCGAGGCAAAATATACGGCTGGCGTGCGTGCAGCCTTGAAAATATTTTTGCTTTCATTGTGCGCTTTGTAAGTGACGTAGGAGTCTTCCAGATCCACATCCAATTGTTGCCGGAACTTTTCAGAGAACTCCTCGCCGCCCATTTTTCGTTTCGATGCGAACTGCATTAATAAAAAAAATAATTAGTGGGAACCCTAGACGGCTTTGGGAATACTTTGTTGCTTACTTGGAATAACGCCTGATCTTTGATGCGGAAGTGCTCGGTCTCTAAATGTGCCGTGCTTAAGTACGGTTTAGTTCCGCCACAAACCTCCTCCATTAGCTGATTGTAAAGCTCCTTCGCTGATGCAACGGCTGTCAAATGGTTAGCTTCGGCGGTGGCCTGCAAGGCAATTCGCATAATTTAGACAATTTTTATGGCAAAACTCAATAAGACAACTACTTACGACAAGCATGCTTTTCGGCTCGGGCAACTCATTGCCCTTGTAGATGCTCATATATGACTGGAAGTACTGTATGAGGTCTCGTGCACGCACCCGTTGGCCACTGATTTCCTTATATACCAAATTGTCCGGCGACAGCAGCATTGGTACAAATGTGCGTAGACTTTGTTTGAACTCGGGTGTGATATCCTTGAGACGTCCGTCGAATTTAGGATTGGTCGCTACACTTAAGCCTGGATGTGGCATCAAGAAACATGCCACTTCCATGAAACAGGCTGCAATATGTCGTCGCAACGACTGCAGTTCCGGGTGCTGTTTGTCTGACACTTCTAGGCGGCGCTTAAGTATCTTATCGCCACCCAGAGCGCCATACTCAGCCTCGTATGGAAAACTCCAATCGCGCACCAGAAACTGTAAGCGTTGAAACGGCTTTTTGCCTGTATCGGCCAATGCTAAGCGACCATATTCTGTGAACAATTGCAAATGCTGCAAATCGTCTTCCTGTATGTTTTGTGACAAATTATATATCTGCACGGATGAAACCATTGTGCTGAGCGCAAAAACGGTAGCACAATCACGCACTGTGCTCTGGCTGTCGAATGCACCCTGTGTGTCGAGTAAAATGATGGCCACCTTGTCGCCGTTCGGATAATCGTGCAGAAATATTTCGGACCACATTAAAATACCAGTGGTATCACGTTCAGAACCGCCGCGCCACGAAAAGCCTGTTAGCGGTTCATTCTCATCACCAATCCAATCGGTTACCACATCATGGCGCACATACTACACATAGGAACGAGAAAGTCAGAAATAGTGGATTGAATATTATTAATACAAAATAGTGTGACTTTTTTGAAATTACCTTGGAGTATAGGTAGCGTAGGAAAAAGTCAAGCAGAAAACTTTTGCCCTTGCGAAATGCCCCCGCCACCGATACGACGCAAACGAAGCGATCTTTCACCTCGTCGCGCATTAACACTTCGCTCAATGCATCTTCGTTGAGCAGAAAAGTATGCTCCTCCGATGTGTTTATTATCTGGATTGCCGTTCCAGGCATGGCTAATGGCTGTATGTGCACCTATTATACGGATTACAGTGGCAGCTCCGCAAATTATTTTGTGTGCCTCGTTTCTGCAATTATATCACGTTGGATTACGCTGGAACGAAAGAGAGTAGAGAATTTAGTACTGCGAGTTTGAAGCAGTGAAAGCACTATAATTAACGAACTATGACTCCACTTCGAATATGTGCATCGTCATTGTTCCTTGACCTCACATCCTAATTTCTCTCTTCTTTTAAGTTATATTGTAGCTGACCTATTGTCTCTAAGGTTCTCTACTTCATACAAACCTAAATTAGTATTAGAAGTTCTGGAAAACATTTTTGGAAAATTAACAATTTTATTTAATAATTAATAAATTCGAAATAAAGGCAAAGTAGGATTAAAATTGAATACTAATTAATTTTTTTCTTTCGAAAAGAATTTTGAGCAAATAAAAACATGAAAATTAATATTGCTGCAAAATATATACATACGTATGTATGTAGAACAGCTGCCAAGCAAAATCTCACCAGAGACGAGGAATTCTTGGCAAGCATTATGTGCCTGCAACCGCTTTGCGCGAGGAAATCGCGGAAAATGCTACAAAACCATGTGAAGCTGCCAAAAAACTAAAATCATGAATAAGACGAACAACAACAACAACCACAACAAAATAAAATTGAGTTAAATAGAAAGCATAATTTCAACGCAATGTTGAGAATGGCTAGGGATAGTGTAAATTTTTTATTTTTTCGCAATTATTAGAATCCGAAAATACATTTTTAGGTAGCTTGCATTCGTCATCGGCGGCGGCCGCTGTCGACACATGCTAGTACTAGCGCTGTCCGACTGAAGAGTGCGGGCACACGATACTGGGCAAAAGCGCAGCAACAAATTGGAATTTTCACCACAAATAGACTTAAAGTTAAAGGTTTATATAAAGTACAAGTCATTGACAGGTAAATATCTCTGTGTGTGAATTTGTGTCGGCAGACATGTATCGATACATGCAGCTAATACATAATCTGTAGGCATGCACCTGTTCTGGTCTTGCCATAGACAAGACACACACACACATACATGTGATATGCACATTTACCGTTTTGTAATTGCAAGTAGATGTGCATTAAAACGCGTTGAGCTCTCAACGGGTTAATGCTTGCGGCATACTTCTCAAGATTAATCATCTCGAAATAACAATTTTTCTAGTTGAAATGTCACAGCGAGTGCTAAGGAACTCATTTCGTGCCAACCAAAACAATATGCAATCACATAATAACAACAACAATAAAAAATATCTAAGAAAAATCTCGCAAATTGTAATTGAAATATATTTATACATAAGGCCGTGTTTGGCAATATTTATTTAATTTGGCTGGGAACAGTTTTGGGTGTAAATGCTGCAGACCTTTGCCTTTCGACAATAATTAATTGAGCAACAAGTCGCTCCTCTCTGCTTTTGAATCACAATTTATTTTAATAAAAAAATACCTTGATTGATGACGTGTGTACTGGGAATAGTAAAACATTTGGATACATTTATACTGCGAGAAAATTAATTAAGTGAACACTTGACAGGAGACAACAAAATCAAACAACAATGGCATTAAATGTAAATGTGTAGACACGCTGTGTATATGTTTTTTGTTATAAAATTGTTACAAATAAAAACAATATTTAGACAATTATAATTGCAGTGCAAAAAACTCGTAAAAAAATTAACAATTAAACTAAACAAATATATTTGAGCAAGATTATGATTATCGCTTACTGTTTATTTACATTTATGCTATAATTATTATTAATTATTCACGATTACGTACGTACGAGTACTTTTCAGTTCGATTTCATTTCGATTCTGTCTTTCAATCAATTCTATTTACGATTATACACTATGAAGTCACCTTACTTGGACTTCAAAACTTTGAACTTCATTCGTGCATAATTTTTCAATGTCAAACGCAATGCGAAAATATTATAAACTTGCGCTTGTTATTGGAAAACCGAAGCAATATCGGCACACCAGCAGCGCACACTTTATATACAATATATACATATATAACAGTACACAAAGCAGATTCCAAAATCTCTAGCCGTTAGAGACAGGCAAGTATGTAAATAAGTAGATAATTGTAAATTATCTTAAACCAAACATCACACAGGCAACAACAAAAACCACACTATGAGAAATACAATAATAATAATAATAACAACAAAAGTAACTACGTCAACAATATTTGTAAACTCGGTGGTAAGCAGTCTATTTGCCACACAACAACCACACAAGAACAACAAGTACGCACAACAATGTTGTAGTTGTTGTTGTGACCGATTATGAAGAATTATTTACTCGTGGCGTTCTATCATTAATATGTATTTACCAACTTTTTTTGGGCTTTTGGCAAAACAACGATTTAATTGAATTAATTAACCGTCACCGCACGCAGTCGAATTGCTACTCAACAGTGCGGACACTGCTCTGTGCGCCTCAACTCAGATTAGTTTAGTTCACTTGGCATCGAGGCGATTCGGTTCCATTCGCGACAATCAAATGTTGTGTACGAGCAGACACAGTGTCAACGTAGTGGATTCTCTGGCGCTGCGCTGTGCTCGTTCGTTGCGAGCGTTAATCGTGTTTAGAAGCAGAAAAACTTGCGCACTCATCTCTTTCGATCGATCTCACAACGATATTGCAGAGATTTGGAAGCATGACAAAGAATGTTTTAAGCAGAACCTGCTCGTATTGCTGAAGTACATAAATTCATATACATATCTGTATATTGGATGATTACATCGACGATTCGATTAGTATAATTACTGTTTTTTTGCTTGGCTTTTTGTTTTGCTTTGTATTCTTCTTGTTTATAAGTATGTACAAAGTATGTAGGCTTAACAATATCGCTAGAATGAAGTAATATGGTCTCAACTGAAGGTTGGATGTTTCAATGCCTACTGATGTCAACAACTGATCGGAGCTTGGAACCAGTATTTTGGGAAAATTTGTTGTTTTTTATGTCAGGAAAAATGTATGTAATGGCAGATTTCTTTAGCTGAGCTCCACATGTGAATTTCAAAATATCGTTTTTTTTTTTGTGTATACATGTACTTTAATTCTCCGAAAATTTGAAGTTAATAGTGAAGGCAAGTAGTTTCAGTGATATTAGCGTATTTTTAAGAATTTTTAAATTAGTGTCTCAAAACTTTAAATGAAATCGAAACGCTGTTTTCTGAGCCGGTAAGGAAAATTTCACCGAAAAGGCTGGACCGATCGGCTTGAAATTTTTACACGGCTTTCTTCAATTTATCAGATAACTATCGAAGTAATAAGATTTTTGATAACAATTTCCATTTTTCCAACATCTCTGAAGTGTAAATATTTTTACAAAAAACCCTTTTTTTATTTTGTCAAAAATCAAAATTTCAAGTAGTTCTTTTAACATTACCTGTGCTCGCCTATTGTTATAATATTTTTTTTGTTTTGGTTTTTGGATTTAATATAATTTTAAGTAGAAAAATCTTCCTCACAACCAGACATTTGTTTTCGAAGGTCCTTTTGGAGATCGTCTACGGGATCAAGGGAATCCAAAATTGTTCAATATGAATCGCCTATTAAATTAAATTATGCAAATGTACAATATTTTAATTTTATATAAAATAAAATGCCTCTTCAAATAAATTCACCAAAAACCAATTTTTCTGACATCCAAGTGGATATAACCCCATAAACGATAGATTAAATTTTAGTGTCACCGTACTGATTACAACTATGCGGTTTTAAGCATGGTTTACTATCACTGGTATGTTTCTAGTGTGGACACATTTTTTATACCTGAACAGGGTATATTAATTTTGCCACGAAGTTTGTAACACCAAGAAAGAAACGTCGGAGACCCTATAAAATATATACATAAATGATCAGCTTGCGCGAACTAGTCCCTCAATTTTTAAGCTATCGGTCTGAAATTTTGCACCTGTCCTTTCCTTACTAAGAAACTGCTCATTTGTCGGAATGGTATGGGACCACTATAGCATATAGCTGCCATATTAACTGACGATCAGAGTAAAGTGCTTGTATGGAAAACGTTTTTATTTAACGAGGTATCTTCACGAAATTAGATCGGAATCAAGTTATTGTAAGGAACCTTTGTATCTGTGAATGGTATTATAGCTTCGGAGCAATATTTAACGTTTTTTCTTGTTTTCAAATCACTTTTGATGGGATTTCTGGAGAGGAGGGTATATTGAAAATGTATTTCAAAATGTTTCGGCAAAATAAAATTGAAATTGGTGTTGCCTTACAAGCCATTTTTCGTATTCAAACAACTGTTCTCAGCGTTATTTTCCACACTCATATTTTCTTCATTTCTTCGCTCTCGGCCGCCGAGCAGTGAGGGTGCTGTATTAGTCATCAATGGCCCGAATGCTTTTTAAGCCCGGCTAAAGCAAAAACAGGTAAAATCCAAAACAGTTTCCAATACAGCAACGAACGGTGGAATGTACAAACGAATGAAACGCAAAAATGAGTGAAAAACACGTTCACCCCGATCACCAGGTGTGCTGAACATCGATCTCTTTTCCGTACATGTGCGCCAGAGGCTTACGACGACGCATAAACAGAAAATATGAAAGTAACAACGATAGCTGCCAACAGTACCAGCCGTTGGACGATGTTTGGTCATAGCAGTTAAGCGCAGGTTTTGCTTTTCAATTCGCCTTTGTCGCTGTGAAACGCTGTGTCGTCGTCGTCGTCGTGGTCGTTTGTGGGACGAATAAGTGAGTAAACAAGTGAGCGCCGCTTAGTCAATTCGATTACTGGCTGTGTGTTTAAATGGAACGTTACTGGTTGCTGCCGCTGGTTGGATCGCATAATCGCTGGACAATGAAGCAGAACACTGGGCGAATACACGTCCGATCTAACGTATGCGATTTTCAATAGTAAAATATAATAGAGGAAACCAACGTTGGCGAAATTTCAAAACATAATTCAAAAGACTAATAAAAGCAGCAAAAGAAAAGAGAATTAATTAGTGCGCCAACAAAGCTAGCATATAATCGAATTTGATAAGAGTAAATAAAGGTTTATTGAATGAGGGTGGCACCCTGAACGCCAAGCGGACGGAGCATTTAATTAGTCGGATTCTAGCAACAGTGGCTACAGCAGCATCATTCAGAATGTCAGCCAAAAATTTTCAAGCACTTCAACGAACGGTGCACACACAATGGCGAAAGAATACCTACAATAACGGCCACCGCCCAGCTAAAGCGTGGAGTCACACCTGGCGAAGTCGCTATGACAGCGGCGGTAGCAACAACAACAGCAGTAATACTAACAGTTCAACACACTTGCTTACACAACGTTCTGGCCGCGGCATGTTGCAATCGCTATTGTTGTATTTTGCCATACTCTTAACTTTAGTAAACTCTCAAAACACTGAACAATTGCAAATCGTGCCTATCGCAGGTGAGTCAACGTTTTTTTACGTCGGTTGCTACACTGCACGCACAGATCTCCTGAAGGAGTCTATTTACTCGAAGACGCCGCGGACTTGTGTCGAAATATGCGAGCATCAAAATTACAGTTACGCTGTTTTATCGGCAGAGCGTTGTTTCTGCATGAACAATGTCAACACGAAGGATCGCCAGGATGACAAACTGTGCAATACACGCTGTTTAGCTGACAAATCCCAGTATTGTGGTGGTGTTGGCGTACACAGTTACTATTCAACTATATGGGCCACAAAAACGGCACCGCGAAATCTTCGCGTGGACAACGTAACCGAATACACCATAACCGTAGCTTGGGACATGCACTTGTCCCCTAGCAAAGTGTTCGTGGCTGGTGCTGAGGTAGCGGCGACCAATCCAGTGCAAGAGGTTACGAATTTTCGCATACGGACACAAGTAGTGCGCACATACTCAACACTGCCTTTCTTTCCGCAACCTGAATTCATAGTGCAGGGCATGGAGACAACCATCGAAATCACAGACCTACATCCGGCCACTGAGTACAATATCACTGTTGAGGCAATGTGCGCACAGGTGGTATGTGGCAATGCCTCACTACATGCCAGCACCGAAGTGGGTATCCCCGGTCCCACGCCGCCGCAGCCGCGTGTTATCCGTACAACAGATTCCGCCATGACCATAGAAATCCCGCCGATGCGCAATGATAATGGACCGCTTACAAAAGTGCTGGTTATTGTAGAACGTGTAGATGCCTCGCTAAGTCAACCATTTGAAACGGAGCTTCTGGGTAGTTGGCAAAAGGCCCAGGATGATGGACTGCCGTACTATATAACTGCACAGCTGGATTACAATGGACCGGACGATAATCGTACGCGGCAATTTATTGTGGGCGATGGTAGGCGTTATGGGCCTTTTTTGAATGTGCCATTGAATACGACTGGCGCCGATATACATCTCAGCCTGGGTTTGGTAAGTTAAAATTTATTTATCGGTTATTTACGAAAATACCGTATTAATATGAAAAAATATATTTTAATTCATTAGGTTAGTACATTGAATGGTGTAACAAAGACCCTGTATACTCGTGGTTCACACGATCAACACTCAATTACATTGGATAATTTTCAATATGCCACCTTCGATTCGGGCCGCGCTTCCATTATTGCGTTGACCGTGACTTGCATCATATTTGCCATTTGTTTGATACTCAGCGTGTTTACGTATTTTTATTTGCGCTACAAGACCTGCCAGGCGCGCGGAGGTTTGAATCGCAATGTTCATGAGATGACCATGCAACAGCCGATTATCGAGCGCGAGAACAATGGATTCGTTGTGGAGGATGAATTGCTGCCCGCTGAGAATTTCCGCCAACAGCTTGACGTGCTCATCTCGGCTTTGGACCCCAACAAACGGTTGCCCCGCAATGCATTGCGCATGAATGTTAATGATATATTTGCGGATGGACGTTATGGTGAGGTAATTACTGGCAAATTCATCTCTGCCGCGTTGCCGGAAGCGAGCGCCGACTGTCAACTGCATGTGCTCGCTTTGGACGATTTACAGGGTAAAGAGCAGGCACATTTGCTACGCGACTTCCGCAATCTTTCAAAGTTGCAGCGACACGAGCATTTACTCGACTTCTATGGCATCTCGTCTAGCACCGATTGGTTTTATTTGGTCTTTGAGCATCAAACTGTGAGTTTGAAACGTCGTCTTATCGAGAGTAGGCGCGTACCCAATACGGCACCCATGCAACGTATTACTGCACTCTCCGAGGAGTTGGTGCTGCAGTGGATCTACGAGATAGCCAGCGCGTTCGAGTATCTTAGCAGCTGCAAAGTGGTGCACAAGCAATTGTGTTCGCATAATATTTTCGTCACTGCGGATGCCAAACTAAAGGTGTCAGTATTCGGCCCGATTCCGTATGTGCAAAACGAAAAGAAAATCGATATAACTCGTTGGTTGGCACCGGAAGCGTTACGCTACCAGCACTTCTCTGTTAAATCGGACGTGTGGTCGTTCGCTTGTGTCGCTTGGGAGTGCTGTACGCTGGGTGGCACATTATATGCCAATATCACTAACACGCAACAGTTGCTTGACGCAATTAAGAGCGGTTCACGACCAGCACAACCGTCATTCGTCTTTCAGGATCTATACCAACTGTTGCTCAACTGCTGGCAGCTAGAGCCAAGTGAACGTATCAATTTCGAGGAGATCGCGTATAATGTGCGTCAGCTGATGACATCACCACGACACGCGTTATGCTTTGATCGATTGCCGGAGCTGCCCGGCAATAATGTGCTGGACACGCTGCCATACTACATGCCAATGCTGGAAATGCTGAACTAGCAACATGTGATTTTTGAAAATGCTTATTGTAGGGATACAAAGGAGCCAACCAAATGTGCCTATTATGAATGGTAATTATAGGAATGCGAGTTGACAAGAGGTGAAAATAATCACAGCTGTTTATTTAGTGCAAAATTTTTTGGCCAATACCAGCCTCTGCTTTTGGTTGAGACAGTTATGTTGACAACAAAAATAAAATCTCAAATCTTAGTTTTGTGTAATTTTAAAACAACAATTGTAATATATGGTACATATGCATGTATGTTTTTGTTTATTTTGTAGCAAAATATGTTCATGCTTTTATTTTACTTTAAATTATTTTAGACGAAATTAATTTGCACTTCGAATCGTTTTGATTGCAGAAAGCCAGTGTTCTCATATGAAGCTATTTATTTTAGTTTAAAGCCAAATACCCCTGCTGACAAGGGAAAGTTTTAATTACTATGCATTTCAATATAAAAAAAAAAATACCCCAATAAACATATTTAAAATGTCGCAACAATACTTGTACGAAATGTATTGTTTTTGAAGAAACTTGAAATATATACATGTTTTTGGCAAAAGCCGAAGCTATGTTACAATTAGTTTTTAAATTGAAACCAGCAAATGATTTGAGTTTCTGTAATAAAATTTAAACTACAATAGAATAAAATATTTTCACTCGACATTGGTGGCATATTTAATGGCTACTATAATCTCAAATGTACTGGCTTGAGAAATCTATTAGAATTTTATTTTTTTACAATTTCTTAACATACGCCCACAAAACGGTTTATTGCAAAATAAAAAGTGTATATTGGCAATATCGGATAAATATTTTTAATTTGTTTCAAAAGTTGTTTATTATTATTGAAAAAGGAAAAATAATTAAATAAGTGCTTATAGTCTCAATCAATAAATTCTAGCACGTAACTTCTATATCAGTTGAGGCCTTTAATTTTTCATTGTCTTCGATTTTATTCAAAATATTTTCGTATGCATATAATGTATATGCACATATTTGTAGATATGTTAATTTCTGTAAACATACATAGAAAATTGAGCGTTGAAGCGCCAAAGGCTTGTAAACACACGTACAATTTAGTTTTTCTGCAAGATGCAAATTATTTTTAGAAATAATTTGGTTATATACACATAAATATTATCAATGTTTTTGTAAAGACTGTGCAACATACCGTTGTTATTTAGGCAATAAACTTGCGTAATTGCAAATTATAAACTTTGTCAAATGTAAATTGAAATTTTTTTATGTTGTAATCCCACATTATTAATTACTGTATATTGGATAAAAGAATTCATAAAAATTGCAAGTTTTTCTAATTAGTTGCCTGAAAAGTATATATCAGATGGAACATAGTATATGTATATAATTAATCAAAATATTTAGAATTGCATAAAACACTCTTTCTTACTTGTTCTAATAAATCAATTAGCACATTCGGAAGAATATTGCAAACATACTATCCTTTTTTCTTCACAGCGTGCAAAAAAGTTGTTAGCTATAAAGGGGGGAGCAGGATTTTGAATTTGTTTTCGTTTTTTTTGTTTTTGTCTTAAATGAACGCACAATTTCTCAACAATGTTGTGTTTGAATTTCAAGTCGATTGGAGCAAACATTTTTCCCCAGATGTTTTTAAAGTCGGTGCCACTCATAACATTGAACACTATTTGTATGCATACATAATTTACGATTTCAGATGATCCAGCACCGAGTTATGAGTGGCCCCACAATTCTATTTTTTTCGATACGCTTTTAAGTAATTGCTGCCATTGCCGTATTTTTTAATATTTCTCCATAAAAACTTAACAGAATATTTTTCAAATATCATACTATAATATAACATTGGTTTTTAAAAATCGATTTTAACATTAATTTTACATACAAAATCATAAAAATGCGTCTTGTTTTTTACATGAATTAAGAGTATAGTACCATAAGCACTATTTGATAAAAACTATTGTTATTGTTGTATCATATAAAAATACACATCTTCATGAAAAAATGATATTCAAATAGTCGTATAAAACATCAAAACAATCAACTCAAAACATTTACATCGTGTTTATTTGCTTGCGTATTTATGATACAATGTGTGTGAGTGTGCTGTATTAGCGAATATATAATTATAAAAGAGTGTCCAACGTAGCAAAATATTTATTGTTTTATAGCATTTTAAATACAAATTTGTGAATACAAATGGGAACGATAAATTAGCTCACCGAACGAAATTTAAAAGCATTAAAAAATAAATCGATTTAGAATTAACAGCTGTGCACTTTTATTTTTAATTCTCGTCGTTTACTATTTGAACTGATAGACGATTTAAATGTAGTGGCGATCGCCGATGGACTGCCAAGCGACCGGCTTAATAAGGTGAACCATAGCTAGCATGAAGGAAATGTTTACGTACATTCATATGAAACTTTAAGCTTATATACAAGTATTTTATATTTTTATTGAAAAATGGAAAATATTGAGCGAGAGAGAAAACATTGGCAGAGAGCTGTGAATAATTGGTAGCAAATTTTTTTTACACAGCTATAAACTGTTTCCTCGATGTCATATCTTTAGATCGTTAACAACAAATGAATTAATCGGCAGATAAAGTTGTTTTATATAGCCTTATGCATTCTGTCAGCAGGTGCAAGGGTTATCTGCTAGTATGGGTTCGCCGATGTTTAGTAATATATTCGATACAACTAAAATTTTCCAACTAAGCACCAATCAATTAAATAATTTTGAGTCTAGAAAGTTGATGTATTTTATGGTTTCTTTTATGAAATTGCTTTGCAAATCCATACGGGGCTTTGAAAGATATGCAATATAATATGTTAGGATTATTATTTGCACGGTTATTTTGAAATAAAAGCATATTTTGTCTAATACTATCGATCTCAATTAATGCACATTAAAGATGTTAGCTTAAGGAGATATACAAGTTGGGTAAAATTTTTTTTTATATACAAAACATAGAAGAGCTTTATTTTGATCGGTCGGTTTGTATGACTGCTCCACATGTTATAGCGGTCCGATCTGAACAATTTGTTCGGATATTGTAGCCGTGCCATGGACAATAATCCTCGCCAAATTTTTCTTTACAAATACTTGAATCTCTGTATCAAAGCTATATGCTGTAGTGGTTCGGTCTGAAAAATTTCTTCAGAGATGGTATCGGAAGAAATCATGTAAATTTTCGTGAAAATATCTTGTCAAATGAGAAAGGTTTTCATATAAGAACTTGAGCTATATGATATACATGTAGGGTCTGATATCGGCGGATCAGAAAATTTAACAACTTTTTTCAGAGAAAAGGACGCGTGCAAAATTTTAAAACTGAGGGACTAATTCGTATATATTCAGACAGGCAAGAGGACATGTCTGAATCGATTCAGCTCGTCATGCTGACCATACATACACTTTATAGGGTCGCTGAAGTTTCCTTCTGCGTGTTACAAACTTTGTGGTAAACTTGTATACCCTCTTCAGGGTATAAACATTTTTTGAATAGTGGGACTTTTTCAATTACTTATGTATTACGAATAAATTTAGTTTAGGGTATCACCCTGGTGACATTTTTGATAAGATTCAAAGCAAATATTAGAGTTATAAATAATTTTGCATACGCTCGTATTTAGTTATCAATAAGCATGTTGCTAAGTCTCAATATTATGCTGCTAAATATACCATTGTTAATTTTCTAATCAATTTATCTTCATTGTACACTACAACTTGCGTATGTTCACCAAAAACCAGTTCTATAGTTTGGTATATGGTTTTAAAACCAAAAAACTTCATAGACATTTGTTAAAAAACTTTTCAAAAATGTGTGCTCTTATCAGACTTTAATTCAGCAGTTTGTTTACTGATAAAAATATATTGCTGCATGCTTGTAAAGTACTGAGTATACTAAATAAATGATGTTAATGTAATGCTCCATCTTCATTAGGAAATAGATCAACAGTTAAAAACCTGCCGCAACATTTACAGATTGCTTATATGCATTGAAACATTGTTATTCAAGCAGAAACTGCTCGACCCCTTTGAAGGTAATCAACACCCTCCTTTCAACATATGACCCCCGGTCCTAAATAACTCACATGCTACTACACATATTTTCGGATTTTGCGGTATATCCATTACTAGATTTTTTGTTATCCTTTAGCCTCTGGTTGGTGTTCGCCCTAATACTCTTGTTTCTCCTAAATCATATAAAATCGTATGCACATACTACCAGTTACTAATACTTCCTATATATAACTTTGGTGCAGTTTCCTGAATGGGCACAATTAATATTCACTTGACCACGAAAATTTATATATATATTGATGTGGGTTGTCACTTCTTTAATGTTTTCTGGTTGTTTTCACTTACGTATAGATATTGCGTCGCAAACTGTTTTATGCACTCTAATAATTTTTACTTCAATTAGCTTGCAAAATTTAATCTCCTTGTTAATTTACGGAATTTGCTCGTACAATTTTTTGATTTTCTTCAAGTGACGGCAAATTAAACCTATTTGTTGGATATTGACACTCTTTTACAACAAATTTTTATTGTTTTTGTTGCATGCTTACGTACCAATCGTGAGGAAGACCGAGATAACACGATTTTCTAAATCACACGTCAATTTTTATGTAGGGTTGCTGAGTTAATATCTTATGTGTCAAATTGTTATTTGTAACAAATGTGAATCAAATTTGTATTATGCATAATATTTAAATGGAGGGAAAAAATGCATAAAATGTTGCACAAATAATATGAAGTTATAAATTTTTTTATGATGGCAAGAGCTTAACACTTGCATTCTTTATTTCATTGAAAGCTGATGTTGTTTTAAAATTAATGATGTGAGTCACCCTGCATCTTCATAATTCAGTTATAAATTGATGGTTGCGTTTTCAATAGCTCTTTACCGATTTGTTTTGATTTCGTTTTTCAAATAATTTTGTAAATATTTGTTGTTAACAAACACACAAGATAAAGCGTGCACACAAATATTAAATTCAAAATGTTAATACAAAATTAAAATTAAAAATTTAAATTATCAGTTTGATAAAAATGAAGATGAAAATGACAAAGTTAAACAAACTTCGCTGTATGGCTGGTATGTGAGTGGTTGCACATTATATAATATAATTAAATATATAAGTTTCAATATATATGCTATTTCACGTAGCAATAAAATATTTACTTACATCCCAACTAAAAAGAGCTCGTGGTTCAAAGAGTTTCAATTCAGTTAATTTCTGACATCGATATACAGTGCCTCAAAAAAGTATACAAGTATGCTTATTGCTTATATAATTTATGTGATTTTTGATGTAAGTATGTATATTTTTACACATAAAAGTGAGCTCAATAGTAAATTCAGAGTATATTAGGATTTGTAATCCCCATGAAAATTAAAATTGGTTTGGATTTCGATGCTTTTTCGAAACGAATCTTATAGCAAAGAAAATGTGCGAAGATTTATATACGTTATTTATAGGTATACGATCTGACGAGTTATTGAACGTACGATAATACAGAACTAGGAAACAGAAATTAAATTTAATTTATATACCTCACCGTTTTCTGGTCCAAAAATGTTAACCAGAGCAAAGTGCAGAGATTCCAACAGTTCCCACGACAGTCAAATTGCTTTAGGGAAGTTTTCTGCCGTTACGACGGAACAACAATTGAGATTACAACCTTATATCCATCCCTTGACCGTATTTTTTGATGGTTTCGAAAATCAGAAGGAACTATGATTCAGAATTACTACTCACCACATGATATTCGGATGCCATTATGTTTTGTTATGATATGGAAAGTAGGAAACACATTTTTGTCTGAAAAATAGGTAGACCACGATGACAGAGTAGAAGTTTCAAGTCCATAAGGGACGGTGAGCATGCGATTTTCAAGGACAACATTCTATGATAAATTAATTAAATTTTCTCTCTCTTTTCTTGAAAGCCCGATTAACTTACAGAGAGTATACCTTTAATATATAGAAGGCAAACACTCTACTGAATTTTATTTCACCTGGCAACTTTTTAAATGTCGTTTGTATCGTACAGTGGTATGCGCGCGTAAACTTTTTTGTTTCCTCGTTTTCTATTTTAAAATTTCCTATTTGCACGTTTCTTATTTTTACTTTTAACTTTTACGAGCACGCTTTGCCATTCTTCGGCACTGAAAACTTGAATAAAACGCGCCAAAAACACTAACTAGATATGTAAGTATGTATGTACATATATACAAGCATTTATGTAATAGAACTCGCACAATACACTTATATTTCTATTATTTGAATACACATCAGATCTCTTGTCGTGCCCCTCGCCCGCTATTGTTCACCTTCATTCACCCCAAAATGCTCGACTGCGAGAAAGTGGTAAACATTTTGATGTCCAACGTGAAAGTTACCACTACTTAATAGCGTACACACATAAAACGATACATAACATTTACACGCATTCAATATATAAATATGTATGTTTATAACTATGTGCTGCCAAAAAGGCCCACTGGTTCTCCCATAGTGAGAGCAGGCAGGCAGGTGTAGGAATAGTGAAAATGCTCGAGCGATTGGAGCAGCAGCATCTCATTGGGTGCAACAACAAACCAAGGCAAAACGTCATCATCGGGTGGTGTTGGCTCCTGCCGACGTAAAACTACCGAGCAGAGAGCAAATTACCGAGCTCTCGTGAGATTAGAGCGGACTAAGCGAGCGCCGAAGTCTTGTTATGCGAGGAGGTGCGACGAGCGGGCGGCATGGATGCTGTTGGCGAGATTTTCATTTTGGCTGTCGCTCGTCTTTGGTGTTCGTCTTGGCCAAAATAGTAGTGCTCCGTAAAATAGTTGGTTCGCATGCAAAAAACGGCAAAATACCAACGGAATTTTCGCACAATGCGTTTATTTTTTATTTTACTTTTTTTCTACACAACATTCTAGAAAAGTAAAAGGAAAAGGATAAAAAAATTTATGCAAAAGTTTGAATTATTATGTTTAAATGTTTAAACGGCGATTAAAAAGGTGTTTAGCGCTAAATGAAAAATATTTACAACAAATTAAAGAACAACAACGGACAATGGAATATCGCGACGAAAAATTGTATCGGTCGCAGAGTTCTGAAAATTGTATTTTATCTAATCGACGCAAATGAGAATATTTAGCAACAGCGGCAGAAAAGCAAAGATTTATTAATAAAAATATATAAATATAAATGAAAATGAAAAATGAATTTGTAGAAATGTGAAAATATCATTATAATATCACCGTAAAATAGCGAAAAAAAATGCAAGCACTCATAAAAATAAAAACGTTTTCGTGTATTTTTTCGGTTCAGCGCAACTCAAGCATCATTATACCTACATAAGCACGGGCTAGAGGGGCAAAAAGCATGAATTTTTCATTAAGAAATTGGAAATCAAGTGCTTTCCACCTTCAAGTACCGTTGCGTTTAAGTGAAAAGTGTAAAAATCTTCTTAAAGCTTTGCCATTGATGTGGAAAAATTGTTGTTGTTGCTGCTAGTTGTGTGAAGTGAAAATTTTAGTATCTATCATAATTATATGCTATGTAATATATACATATGGACATATATCGTATGCATATACGTATGTATTTATGTAAAAAACGAGATGTAATTTTGTAAATCCACGATTACATATATATGTATGTATTTATGTATAATTATACACACGTATGAAAACAACAACATTGTTTTAGGAAAGAAATTTGGATATATGTATGTATGTATGTCTGATGATATGCGCACGCTTTTTCCTTAGCGCAAATTTGAATAAAACAAATGAACACACTTATTTGTTTTGTGAAAAAGTATCCTATTATGCTGTTTAAATGACGGTTGACGGATCTGCGAAGTTTCCGTCTCCTCTTTTCTTTGATTGACGTTTGATTGCACTGTCACATGTACAAGTACAAACATACACACGTCTGTATATCACAAAAATACGTAGATATATGTGTGTGTGTGTAGGTATACGTATGTATCACCCCGAATGGCGGTGGTGGGGGCTTAGCCACAGAGTTATACAAAGTCAAATGATAAGTTTAGCATTCGTTTCTAAGTATAAACCTATATTTGGATGTATGTGTGTACATAAGTAACGGTGTACGAATGTAGATATGTTTTTGCGAAATGTATACTAAGTTGCACAAAAGTTCTTATACATAAAAAATTAAAGGGCAGCTTTAATACCCCAACATATCTCACTTCTAAATATGTAAATTTTATCCCATTACAAAGCCAGGCGTACATCGTTTGAAAATGTACCTATATATACGCACTTATATTTTTTTTGCGCTATTTACATTTCATTTAAAGTATAAATGATGAAAATCGCATTAAGCTTTAAATTATATTCCATCGTATAACTCATTAAAGTTGGCTCACATTCCGGAATATGTCTATCGAAAGGTGATAGAGCACACAGTTGCGTCCTCCTCACCGTCGCTTGCGTATTTCAACATCAATTGCAGGCAACTTGCGAATATCCTTTGTCGTTTCTCGCTTGGCGATTATCAACGTTTCTCGTCTAGTTATTTGTTTGTGTGATATGTTTACGTTTGCGTATGTGTGGCTGTATGGACGGTTAATAAAACACAATACTTTGAAAAGTAGGTGTGTATAACGGTGAAGCTCGTTGATTTATCATATAAAAACATCTTTGTACTATCCATTGCCAATTCAATATAATAAAATTTCCTCTCCTCTTCTGCTTAGTTTCTCTCTTTCTCTTTATACGCAGGGAGTTTACAACATCCAAAATCCTGAAATACTCCCCCGCCCCACCAGCACACCACACCACAGACACACACATCCACATTGGCTTAGTTTGCTTCTAACATTGTTGTTACCACATCTACGGCTTCAGCTCTCACTTTCTCTCCAACTCATGTCTAGTGGAATGTTGTTTTTCCATTTGAGTTTATTGCTGTTATGTCTTTCGCAGTTACGAAATTGTTATCCTTTATTTTCACTCCTTGTGGCATTTGGACCATTCGTGTTGTTTTTATTCTTTTTACTTTATTATCCTTTTCTTGTATTTGTACGTTATCCCTTAATTGTATTGTATGTACATATATACACAGTTACCGTTATAGGTGTTTGTATACCATATTTATAGTTTTTCTCAGCCTTGCGCTAATTCTGATGTTGCCACATTGTTGGAAATTAGGTTGTATGCATTTAATTGAAGAAAATTGTATTATTTTTTCCAAAAATCGTCTTAACGTTTATTCAATCATTTAATAAAAAAAAATATTTTAACTATAAAAGTATGTAATTATATTTAATTAAAAAAAAGTTGAGTGGTTAAACTTGTATGATTTTAAAATTGTTTGACATCTGCCGTTTAGACCTATCAAATTAGAACCTTTAAGTATATATATGTACCGTATGTCACATAGACATTTGTATTAATTTATTTCAAAGGTTTAACGATATTGATTTTTATACTCTTGCAAAATGTTGCTATAGAGTATAATAGCTTTGTTCACAGATGGGCGTAATCGGACCACTGCCACGCCCACAAAACGCCATTAATCAAAAGCAAATAACTAAGCTCTACAATAAGAATAAAGATTTGGTATACAGAATCACATTATGGAGAGGCATCTGCAGTTTAAAATTTGTTTTAAAAGTGGGCGTGATCCCGCCCCTTAATAGATTTAATGTGCATATCTCCTAAACCGCTAAAGTATAATAACGAAATTCACTGAGAACAAATGATTTTAGCCCCTCTATCGACAGAGTAACTGTGTGACAACTCCGCCCACTCCCCATATAACATTACTGTCAAAAACTCAACTAAAAGAGCGATAAATCAAGCACTAAATATGCCAGAGACCATAAATTTTATCATTGTGATTTTAAAAGATGACTTTATAGGAACCGCGTTAAAAATTAGACAGTGGGCGTGGCACTTCCCACTTTTATGTGAAAACCCATATCTTTTTATCTGCTTAACCGATTCCAAACAAATTCGGTACGTGACATTATTCTCATGTTTCTATGTTATAGTGCGTAAATGGGCGAAACCGGACTACAACACGCCTACTTCGCATACAACACCATTTTAAATTCTATCAGATTCTTTCATTTTCCAGTATGTAATTCAAGCAGCAATGAATGTATCGGGATAAAACTTTGCATGAATAGTGCCTTTGAGTTGGGCGATCTTATTACCAAAACTTGTCTACATCAGAATATAACTATTCCACCCCCATGTATTGAATATACAAGTATGGACCCCTAGTTCCTACAGCGAACATTTTATCGAAAATATCGTTCAATCTGTGAGATATGTTATAGAAATTTGAAGAAAATCCTTTTCTGATAATAATATGCATGTATGTCAAAAATGGATTGATAGAATGATTTTCGAACTACTGGGTGACTTTATATCGCATATTTGAGCAAATAAGTAAGATATCTTAGAAAAATTTACTGTAACAATATAATATTGAATATACTATAGTTTAATGCCGAAAATATGTGAAATTGTTCTAATGATTCTGATTTTTTTTGTTCTACTTGTAACAAACCGTATGCACCTGAAGGTATTTCCCTGGCTTTGATCCTGGCAAGTTGCAAGAGTATGTAATGTTCGGTTACACCCGCACTTAGCACTTTCTTACTTGTTTATATTTTTAATTTCAACTTTCATTGTGCTAATTTTCCAAAAACATGTCTTTATATTCGGTATACAATACCGTCGGAAAAAGTGCACAGATCGTTCGAAAGATATTAATTTTTTGAATACTGTGCATCAATTTTTAGACTGCACTTGCGTTCTAGCGTCATATAAAGTGATTAACGGTTGATTTTACCACATAATGATATATATATATGTATGTATATGATGATATGGCAACATTTTCATAGAGAAAAGAAAACGTTATGAGGCTGAGCTTACATCATTTAATAAATTTTTTTTTGATTTTTGTTATAAAGAAAAGATAAAATTCTAAAAGGAAGCTTAGCTGAGTTAATAGGTCTCTCTATAGGTTGGTCTACGTATTTGAGCCTATCAAAAATCAAATGTAATATTTTCTATTTATTAATGGTATATTAAGTTGGCTCTCATTCACGAATAAAAAGTCGTGCTTTTAATAGCTCTCAGATGGCTTATATGTACTTATATTTATGTAAATAACAGTCCTTACGTCGCCTTGAAGGCTCATACATATTTTTAAACTTTTTATGTTTTTGTATATACCTATCAACATATATTTGATTTTATCCTCCTTTTACATGTTTTAAACTGCTCTTTATGTCTCCTTAGAGATCATCCTACAGTAGATACTAAATACTTATTTTGTTTACAATAGTTTAGATATGTATGCCCCTGAAATTTCGAGTTTAATACCGTCTTTACGTACAGTAATGTGCAAAACTTAGGAATATGACGGTTAGAAATAAGTGCAAAAGTACGGAATTGAAATTATAAGAATTAATTTTGGCTTTTTGAACTGCTTATCGAAAGACTATACTTCTCTAAAAATAATGCCGCACATCTACAACTGTCTTAAGCATCCTCTTTCTCACTACTACAAATATGCCGTTATATTTTTAGTGAAATCAATTTTAAATATCGCAATAAGTAGATATTTTTGCTCACATGCAAATTTGCACATTATTTTTATCGAAACACATATTATTATAGCTAAATAAAACTTCGCCAGGAGGAAAAACTATTGCCTACACGTGCCTATGAACATATGGTACATACATTACTTATATATCTTCAAGTATAGTATACCTATGTATGTTTATATATGTACATATATTTACTTGCTTTTACATATGATATTTACTTTTCACTATAAATATTTGAGCTAATTGGAGCATGCGAAAATGTTGACAGCTGCCAATTGGATAGGCTTCTCAAATTCGAATATTCGAAATTTTAAATTTGACAGTTTTGTGATGCTCCTTCATTTGTGTTATTCAAATAATAATTTAATTTACTTAACAACCAAATTACATACATACAAGTGCAGATACATA